TACTTAATCTTGACTTGCTCAGAAATGCCAACTTTTCAATACAATATTTAAATCCAAACTTATATTATACATGCGAAAGTAGCTTTGTCTGTCTGTCTTTTCTTCACGCCTAAACAACTGAACCTGTTTGTGTGAAAATTGGAACAGACTTAGTTTGGAACCCGAGAAAGAACTTAGGACAGATTTTTTAACCAAAAATCTGCAGGAAGTCACTGTTCCACGCGAACAAAGTCGCGGGCAAAAGCTTGTAAATAAGCTGAGGGTATTTTTCTTTATCTGTTTCTTTGACTTATTATAAGTATTACACTGTTCTCACATGATGGAACCAACTTAATTCTGTAACCATTGGAGTTTCTTGCTCGTTCTTCGCGAATGGAATCTACACTTTAGAACGAGCAAATAGCTTCATTAATGGACTGACTAACAGACTTAGATTTCTCATCTTTAAATCTTTGATTGACAATCAAATATGCCTAATAGTCTTATTGAAATATAATTACTTAAAAAATATGTATAAAAATAAATAATCAACACCTCCGTTGGTCCGTGTTACAATATTATTTTTATTGCTTAATTTTCATTGGGGATCGATCGCCGATTTCCGGCGACCGTAAGCGCGGGTATGCGGTCGGAGAGGTGTAAGGAGGGGAAGGGTCTCGACGCTCAACTAAAACCAGACTCAAGAGTACCGGCGTACTGATTCGCGCGCGCCTCAAAGAGCCATTAGACCACCACAGGTGGGGCTCAATAGGGCCGATGTCCAGCCGGCAAGCGCAATGAGGTACCGCGGCCCCAACTCGGAGCAGGAGACAGGACGGAGTGGTTTAAGTTAGTATAATCTCGGTGCCTCATTGCGATTACCTCGCAACCTCGGCTGACCATCAGCCCTATAGGGTCCCGTCTGTGGTGGACTATTGGCTCTTTGAGGCGTGCGCGGAACGCTACGCGCCGTACGCTCGGGTCTGGTGCTGGTCGGGCGGCAAGCTACCCTTACTCGCCGTCCACAGACCCGCGCTTACAGTGGCCGGAGATCGACTCTCGAGAATTTTTAGTATTAAATTAAAAACTTATCAAGATAAGCCGTAGGGTAATAAAGCATCACACTACGACCATAAGCGCGAATAGCGCGTGAAACCGCACGGCAGTACCTAGTGTTTATATATTTTCCTCATTTGTTTAAACGGTTTTAAATAACGCATAGTTTGCCTGCCCACCTAAATAATCCGTTATATCTTCGGCATCATGTTTATTGATGACAAATATTGATTTTGTATGTAATGAGCTGCTCTGGGATTCCCAGAACCTATGTTTAATATGTTGGACATGTGAAATTCTTGAAGACTTAAAGTAAATACAACATTGAGTTTTAGAGGCTGTGAAATTTATTTAAAAATGCATTGTAAACTAGTTTTTCAGCACACAATAATTAGAATCAAGGATAATGGTCGGACCACCTGATGGTAAGCAAGTAATTATCGGTGCAGCGCCGCCCTTGCACATACGCAACATTGAGGAATTACAGAATTACATTGGTGGTTAGAGATTTGAGGGTTGGGCGATTTGGGGATTGGGGATTAGGGGGACCTCCAAAGAAGTCCAAAATGTCATTAATTCTCGTTTATTTTCTTCTCTATATGCAGATGTTTTTGTCCAGTAGTGAGACAGTTTATAGGGTGATATTGTCATCATTGTTACTATCAAATGCAAAAGGATTCCTAAATATTACTAGTAGAAGGTCAAGTAAAGAGGTAGTCATATCATCTATCACCAGCCAACATGGCCCCACTATTGAGCGAAGGCCTTTTATCACACTGAGAAGGTACTTATGAGCATCAGCAACGACGCTTGCGAAGGCAGATTGGCGTTTTCAAATCTATCAGTAGAAATTGTATTTTTTTTTTAAATCATATAAACTAGTGCTGGACTACAGTCCCACCTGATGATGATCTTAGTTTCCTCAAAACGGTTTCCTTTACCTTTTGACTCAGGTACAAAAATTCTACCAAAACTCTGAATGAAAGCGGATTGGCGGTTTCTGATTTATACTTACATTAATAGAATACAACCTTAGCTGGTCGGTGACTTGGTTTCCTCACAATAGGTAGTGTTATCTTAGCAAGTATAGTATAAGTCGAAAAAAGTTAATATTGGTAGTTTCATTGGTAGTGTTATGCATGCATAAGTGGTGGTGTGTGTGTGTGGTTTATCATATTATTTTCCTGAAGGGTTGAGAAACTAGGTCTTAGATAAAGACATATTTTAATTAAGTCGTCAATTGTCAAGTTTATAAAAGTCCAGACGAATTAATATTTTTAAATAATATTTTATCTTTTCTCTGTCTTTTGTGTGGCTGCATGGTTGACACGGTACCTGGCTGCTGGCTGCCGCCCAAGATGTCGTGGAACCGATTCCCGCACAGAACAACTCTTTGTGTAATCGACAAATAGTTCTGGATCTGTGTGTGATGTGTGTGTGAAATTGTGTTTGTTTTTTGTAATGATGTGTTGCTCACCCTCGCTACGAGAGAAAATCCTAATGTGGAGCAATATTTGTTTTAATAATACAAAAACAAAGAATACTCTAATAAAATGCACAACCGTTACCACGTAATTTATCAATAGATCACAAACTTATCCTAGCAAAATATCAAAATTTTTGACATTTGCATAATAACAATATTCGAACGTGACAAGATCTTCATATCAAAACGACCTCAAAAGGTACGTACGTCAGCAGAAAAGTTTTTGAATTTGTTATCAGATTTATAAATACATATCAATGCATATTGATAATCCCGTTCGCATTGACGAGCGAATTAACGAATAATAGAACGAAAAAATACGTACGTAGTTGTTTTACTAATTAATTAGATATCTGATCATCATCATCAGCCACTGCTGAGCAAAGGCCTCTTCCCAAACGGAGAAGGTTTGTGTTTTAATCACCATTCTTGCTCAATCCGGCTTGGCAATTTTATACTTGTAATAAAATTATAGAATATAAGTAAGTCCAGTTTTCCTCTCGATATTTTCTTTCAACGTTTGTCAGTGGTGTCTAGGTAAACTAAGAAAGTATATTTTAACTCGGAAAAAGTCACAATAAGTCGCCTACTTTAGGTTTTAACAAGCATCCTCACGAATGAGAAGATGTTCATCCTCATGGATAAACCTTGGCTTTCCAATTGACCATCTTAAAGATTTTTCTTACACAGATAAAGAATTACACTGTAACATAATTTATGCCTTTTATAAAATACAGATTATTATGCACAGATTCAAACAAATAGGAATCTACGCCATTGGCCCATAAAGATAGGCATAAACTATAATATAACGCCATCTACCACGAAGATTGCACATTTCTATAACATTCTTACCTAATTTAATATTTTAAAAAAGTCTTCTAATATAATTCTCGTGTCTACTTCAGGGAAAAACAGGGGTAAAGTCATATTAGAAAAGTACCCTCAAGAGGGTACGACGATCAAAATATGTTTTGCATCTGAAAAATGCAGCGTCACCTAATGAAAGGCCTTTCAGGGAACGCTGAAAAGAGGCTATTATAAAAAGCTGAACATTAAAGATTAAAATTATTATTTTCATAGAAATACGTTTTTGTTAAAATCGATGATGATACGGTGAAGGTAAACATCGTGAGGAAACCTGGACTTATAATTTCTAATTATAAGTTTGAAATCGCCAACCCGCATTGAGCAAGCGTGGTGATTTATGCTCTAACCTTCTCCGTGTGAGAAGAGGCCTTTGCTCAGCAGTGGGCACTTATAGGCTGATGATGATGATGATGATGATGATGATGTTGTCGAAGTAAGGTGATGATTGCTTTAAAAACAAGTTTTAACAAAAATGTTTTTTTCATTTCGTTCCTTCCATGTTTTTTGAGACGCGTTTAGATACCAATCTTATTACTTAATTTTCAGGTTTTTTAAATTAAACTAGATCGCTTTTGAAAATGTCAAAACTTCTCAAGTCATGGTGATTCTGCTTCAAAGCCGATCAATGTGATATTTTCCGAATTACATGTAACTGCATTCTAAATTTTAAGACACCAATGACCTATGAGTACCAAGTGAAAAACATCATTGTGAACTTACTTATAATTTCTATTGATTAGTTTTAGTTTGAAATCGTAAATCCGCCTTAAGTAAGCATGGTGATTAAAGCTTAATATTTTCATCATTTGAAAAAAGATATTTTGCTCAACACTGAACACATACATATAGGTTGATTATGATATGAAAGTTTAAGATTATTTTGAAACTCGTAAAAGAGAAGAATTATCTTAGAAGCATTATTGTTTGTATATTTTATTTTATATAAGCCATTTTTATTGATATTAAATACTTAAGTGATTTCTTGTCATTACCAAACGTTATCATTACCGTCAATTAGCTGTTCTTTTACGCCCACATGTTTCAATATACATATAACCTATGAAGAATTCTACCAATCTATTTTTGTACTTGATCACTTTTGTTTCTATGATAAGTAACTAAATTTGTTTGTACAGAAAAAAAACTTTGTGCATAGAATCAAACGTCTAAACCTAAAATTAAATTATACTGGTCTAAAATTCCTGCTAATTCAAAGGTATGTTGTGAAATGGATTCTCCATATTGAAGACAAATATGGTCACAATTTTGACTTCTTATTTAGATGTAGCCCCGTTATTTTTCAAGTCGCAGCCTCTTGCTAACTATCACGTTAGACAAAGGTGCCAAAATTACTGGTTAGAAAGGTATATACTTACACGAAAAGTTTAACAATTTTAATATTTATACATATATATTTTTAAATAGAGTAAATTAAGGTTTCTAAATAACGTATTTTTATTTTATCGATAAGTATAATTACATATATTTTATTTGTAAAAAGTCCATATTTCAGACAATAAGTCACATTTTTTTTAAATTTAAGTTATTATTGCATCACAAAAACCAATCTTTTAATATGCTAAAATTATTATTAAAAAAATTTACTCACCGCTTCATCTAAGTTGTCACCATAGTCTTCATCCCTTTGGAGACACATCCAGATAACACTAATCCAGTTCACTGCACTTCATAAAACAATTAAAGTCTATTGGACCTAACACGATGCCCTGCGGCACGCCACTTCAGTACTCTCGACAAGACTGACGCAGGCCAGCTTCGATGTTTTGAATACAATCTGTAACAGAAAAAAAAAACAATAATAAACTTTACTTGCATGCAGTTGTATGTTTGTATATTTGGTGAGAGTATTTGTTATTGTGTAAAAATCAAAGGCTTGGGACAACTTTCTTCTTTAACAGGGCAAACTTACACTTTCAACGATGATACCTAGATTACTAAAATTCCACGGAATCTGCACTTGCGGTGTGCTAAAGACAACCTTTGTATGTCAGGTTTAGGAACCAGTTATTTCAATGAAAACTAGAATTTAATGTTTGATAGATGACGCTTTTCTAAATAATACCGGCTATCTACTCGGAACAATGGTTCCTTGTGAATTGATGTACCTCTACGTCAACTATAACACTTTCTGCAGATAGCCATTGACGTCAAAAGTGTTTTGTATTAAATATAATATTAATATAATACAGTAAAGCCAATAAAAGTGTGCAGAACACATAACATTGAGATTATTTTTGAAGACGCAATGCAAGAAATAATAATTCTTCTTAATTCCAACATCAACGTATCGCTTTAGGTGGGTTTAATAATATTTTTATTCGGACAAGAAGAAAATATATATTTATGGCGCCCAGGCTTTGAAAAATGAGATATAGATAGACTAAAATAAAGCAAAATATACCACCAACAGCAACGCAGCTGTAGTTCGCCACTTCCAACATTCACCTACAATAGTTTAACACAAACAATAAGTAGTATTTTTAAATATTGCCCGGCAATCTTTGCCTATGACTAATTTCTAGACAGGCCTTAACATAACACACACAAATCTTTTGGAACAACCGGAAATCAAGCCCTATTTCGAAGGCAATAAAGATTAATTTAATGACGAAAGTGATGGTGATATAGGCTGTTGTATGTTTGGGAGAACAATCGGTTGTAAAATGACACCTGAAGGCGACACTAGTCTGAAAGAAAATATTTTGTTTCTATGGTCAGTCTAGCTAAGCAAAACATTTTTGTTAATATCCTATTTCATAAACATAGGAGGCCAGTGGCCAGTAATAAAGAAAATCTGACTGAACGTTGTACATATTTCTTTTAAGAATTTCTCTGTTGCTTGACTGGTCGCATAATATATGGTGTTTTCGAGTTGGACTAAGGTCTGGTAGTATTTTATTTTTAACTAGCTTTTGCCCGCGACTTTGTTCCCTTGGAATAATGACTTTGACAGATTTTTGGTTAAAATACTATCCTGTGTCCTATCTCGAGTATGCACAAACTATGTTTGTACCAAATTTCACACAAATTGGTTCAGTAGTTTTAGGCCTGAAGAAAAGACAGTCAGACAGACTTACTTTGGCATTTATATTAATAGTTTAGATAATGGCATGAATTCTGGAATAGACCCGATACTTTTCAAATGTGTCACGCTGGTGCGCTAGATATACAAAATTTGTCTTGTTACACGAGATTTTGATGGGATTTTGTTTGGTTAATTTCCGTTATAGGCAGAGGCCCCTAGAGAGTCCACTAGTACGTAGTCTATACCTTGACTACAACTACACAAAAAAACAGCGGTGTTGTTAAATACACCGCAAATAGCTAAATATAAAACCAGCGTGTCTTCCTCAAGCTTGCGTCAATTTTATATCTGAAAGTTATAATTTTAAGGCTTTATGTAATTGATCAAAAAGCGAAATGAAATTGATATGTGTAATCTTTAAGCCACAAACTAAGCATTGCATGTGTTTTCTCTAGGTAAATGTAACATATAAGGTGACTGAAATCGACCTACGTCATCAAGATTCAATTTTATAAAAAAATCTTTAATACGAAGACTCTCTTATTACATCAATATTTTTTTTCTCGTACAGTCATGCCTTCATTGCTGACTTGAAATGAACACCAAAAATATTTGCAAATAATATTCCGAGTAGTTTTGAATCTAATGACTTTACAATGTAATTTTTTTTTCGTGTTTGCCGCACACTTTGCCTATAAAAAGAAGTTCAAAGTGGGTCTTAGCAAATAAGGTTCTAAGTACACTACACATCGCATGATTCTTACTTGAGTAAGCCTGTTCGATGACAGTTCAAACTTAGTTTCAGTTTTGATAGATAGATGTCGTTGTAATGAAGATTTTAACTTTCAATTTAAGTAGTGACGTTTTAAATAATAAGTCATTCCTGTCAAGCCTTATTTAAGTGTTTCTGATAAAAATCAGAGATTAGAAGAGTTCAATTAACACCAAATTAGGATTTAAAAAAATTAAAAGAAGGGATGGCTCAACTCTTACGCACTTGGTCACCTCAAACATTTTCTTGGATATGAAAGAACATACCTTAAATATAGCTTCACAAGCAAACACTGTTCACTATATCTGATCACCTTCTGTGTATAATTTTGATCACATTACTGAGACTACCTACTGAACATGTACTGCTTAATACCCAAAAAGTTCTTTGACGTGTGTTACAGATGTACACTGGACATCTGTGTGGCCAAAATTGTCTATTTAACCCTATAAAAATGTTTATGATGACAACGTAACAAAGTAAACAACTTTTGTATTATTTTCAACCCTACCACAATACCTCCATAATACTTGTAGACCATACATAAGAACAAGTTCAAGTTTTTGAATACGCACAAAAAGACCCCTCGTAGGAACAGATCCAGAATTCAAGGATCGTGAACTTGATACCGAGAATTGGCAAATAAGAGGGATGATTTGACCTTGGATCTTTTAAGTATAGCTCGTTTGTAATCGACGAAATACTTTATTAAATTTGTACATGTACAGTTACCTATATACATTTATATTTTGTATAGCAACTTGGGTGGCTTGGTTTACATCTTACATCACAACCAGCTTCATGATAAACCTTGATGTTTTTTCTTATCAACAAATGCACTCGATTCGCGAAAAAACAACAATTATACCTACTGAAAACAAAACTTAATTTGGTTACCTACTTATTACTCATACAGCGCTATCACGACAGACCTCACATACTCATGATTTAAATACCTATATATATAGCTAACATTTTATTTATGTTTCATCTTTATAAACATCTCATTTATCATCAAGTTTTGATTTATATTATATGTAAACAAGTGCCCATAAAACTTATTTAATGTAATAATAAAACTTTACTAAACGCCATCTCGTTAACCGGTACTGAACTTAATGGCTTACTAGTAGACTAAAACGAGTTGGTAACAGCGCCATCTAGAGTAGATAACCTGTAACGTTTTTTTCGAAGCGACGTCACGCCTGTTGCATACGATCAACCAATTGTTTACACAATACAAAAGACCCCTTGTTTGTTTTTCGCTAGACGTTTCCTGGTTTGTTTTGTGTGTGAATATGTGTTTGTGTGTGTGTTCGTATGTTTTCACAGCCGGCTCTGTGTGTTCGAGGACGGTACACAAAATGTTGTTGTTTGCACGGCCCGAGTAGGTAATAAATTCTCTGTCTGACTTACGTACAGATATTTTTATGCTTTAAATATTACTATGGATGTGCTCATTGGTGTAAGATCGAGCTATGGATAGTGGTTATTAAGATGGTTAGATGTTGTGAAAGGTACCGTGTAGCTATTGTAACAGCGACATGTCCCAACATAGTGCGTTATTGTTAACTTATTTGATCTAGTTAGTTGTAACTAGTTATATCTAAGTGCCTGCTGTAACTGAATGCCTGCATTAGCCACTGCTCTGTGTAGGTAACTACGTAATTTATTCGTTCGTGAATTAATTGCTATTTAATACCTAGTTGTGCAATTCATTGATAAATAATGATTTACAGCAAATTAATAAGAAGGTAACTTCTTATGTACAATTGTTAAAAGATTTTTTCTTCTGTCTTAAGTAAATAGGTATTTACGAAGAATTTTATTACACATTGACCAACAACAATGTATTAACGTATTAACTAAATGTTTCCTTTTTTTTCACAACGTGAAATTAGGCTTTCTTATGAGTTAAAAAACGACGTTTTTCGAATAAGTACCCACACTTTCCTGTTCAAGGTTGCACCCAGAAAATAAATTGTGGTCTAAATAATTATTTATTAAAACACATCAATTTTTTAAAATTACAAAACCAAATCTGTTTTTATAAAAGACTTAGGAAACATAATACTGTTATAGCACCTACTGATTAACAAAATGCCAGTTGTGATGTCCCGAAACTAAAATCTTTTGTGTACCTACATTATGATTTCACTATAACCTATTGGAATAATCCATATCAATTTCTGATTGGCATAAATACAATAGAAGCCAAACCGAAGCCCAAAAGAGCTGCAAAATCATCATAATCATTGTAAAACAAAATTTATAGTATTTCTCGAATTACGACCACACATCCTGAACAATAATACCTATTCCTTACTAGATCACACAAAAACAAGTTAATATGTAACCACGATTATGCAATATACAGACAGTATATCGAGGGAAACTGCAAACAATACTTCCATGGGAACATGGCCGCCTTTCCTACATTGTTCTTGTATTTATTATGTGCATGTACTAACAAACAAACCAATTAAATTGTTTATAGCTTGTTTAGTTGCGTGGGTAAAGTGAGCTAGCTTAAAGCAGCCAATTATTGCAACCTTTTCTAATTCTTCTTCTGGACATATCCTCCATCACTTATTGTCTTTTGTCATTCATCGCTACCACTATTTGTTTCTCAAATAACTTTCACAAAAATGGAAAGAAGCCCTGAATCGCATACTAGTATTTCCCTGTGTTGCGGGGTTCAGTCTCTTTTCTATCATAGCATCAAACTCCCTTTAATATCCATCTCTTCATCCATTCTCTATCCTTTTTATATCTCCACAACTATATGTATCAGTCACTTTGCCTCATTTTGCCTGTTGCCTATTCTTTGACAGCTACAAATTATTTTTTCAAAGACTACGATTTTGTCTACACCCTTTTTCCCTAGCAATAGAACGAGTGCAGTTTGCATCGCATTATCAAACCTAGCGTTATACATAAAAAGTATACTAAAACGATCCGACAAAAAAATCTAATA